TCAGAAAATGCCGGAGACAAAAGATCACATCTCTGATGTTGTCATAGTAACCTATTCATTGCTATCTAAAGCTGTTCAGCATTCTCTTCACACATTCTAGTTCAGGCTTTCAGAATAGGGCAGGTAGAAGATACAGTGCTCTTTTTAGGTATTTGGAAGCTGTTATTTTAGGGTAAATAGGGTAACACTTCACTTTGAAAGTCCACTGTAGATGTTTTCTAGATGCTCACCTTGTCTTTATCTACACCCTTAAAAAAGATGGTCCTTTAGTAAGGACAAGGGTTCTGCTATTGTTAAGAAGAGTTCTTCTATTACGATGTCAAGTTTGTAACAATAGCAGAATACCATTCTCAAAAAGGGTCTATATAGAGCCATATACAAAACATTCTCCATCAATCTGACGAACGAGTTCATCATGCAAAGAACCATTTATGCATGCAAATGGTTCTGTAAGTGTTTATAGTTCTATATAGAGCCATTGGGCCTCATTCACCAACCGTTCTCCAGAAGAAATGTCTTCTTAAACCCCACTTATGCAGGTTTTATGAAGGTTCTGACATTCACCAGTATTTTCTTATTGGGATTTGTTCTTAGGTAAGAACAGAATCTACACACACTCAAGAGCACGAAGGTGAGAACAATTCTGCGTTTTAAGAACACGTCATGGATCTGACGTAGACTTTTTCTTAGGACCTTCCTCAATAAAAAAATTAAGAAAAAACTTAGGAAGATATTGGTGAATGAGGCCCACTGTCTTACTAAAGAACCCTTGAAGGATTGTAACATTAAGTATCTATTAAACACAACTAAAGGTTTAGTGGAACATCATAACTTCGATTAAATCTAACTCTAAACGTAACCTTGACTTAAATCCCAAAACCTAAGCCTGCTAAACCTAAGACTAATCCTAATTTCAGTTCAAATTCTAAATCTAACCCTAACACTGTTAATAAGAAACTCTCGGTCTCCAGATAGTTTCTTAACAATTTCAACATCTATAGATGACCTTTTTAGAGATGGAACACTTGAAATAAAGTGTGACCCAAAATAGCTTAAAAAACACTTTTTAATGTACGAATTTTATTCCTTTTGAATAGCATTTTTGCTGAACTGCGTCTAGTTCAGGGGTCGGCAGCCCAAATGTTAAGAAGAGCCGTTTTGTCCTTTCAACAAAAATCAAACCACCTTGGGAGCCACAACATTTTATGTCCATTGGACTGTCTTGGCTGTAAATATGTCTCAGTGTGTGCTACTAGCATAAGCAAAAAATATAATATAGATGAAAATGCAGACTTACTTTGCTCTGCTTTAGGCTTTAGCTCAGCTACAGCTGCTTTTCTCGCATCTCCGGCAGGAAACTTTTCCGCAAAAGTAAAGTAGTTTCTTGTAAAATATTTCTTAACGTTTGACTTTTTACAAGACTAAAGTCAGCTTGACATTCACCAGCTTCAATTTCCCGTTCCACATTAAATTGTTTCTGAGGCCCCAGAATGTAACTGCTGTAGCATTTAAGGTGGAATGGGAAAATTTGAACAAGAAGCTGGCAAACGAGGAGCTGACTTCAGCTTCACGACTTTTATTGTTTAACAGTTTCTCACTGAAGATTAAACATATCAGGAAACAAACTGAGTGCTTATAAACACAAATAAGTCTATTCATCTCCAAATTATCGATGTTCATCTTAAATCTTTCTCTTTATCATTTCGTTAGCTACTAGCTATTCAAGTTGTCTGCGTTGCTATGGTGACCAACAGTCTGCACACCAACATTCAGCGTTAAAGGTTGGTGATTTAGCAGTTTTAGGCTACTTTAACGCCAGCGTTGTAGGCAAAGTTTTAACTGTAGACTTTCAATTCAATTTATATGGCAATTAATCATCAGCTAAATTTCATGATTGTGGCAGGCGGAATAGTGAGCACAACAGAACATTTTTCTGTGGAAGCTGCCTTTGGATTCAAGGGGGATAAATAAATATGAAGATTCAGTAACAGTCTATTAAAAGAAGCAAGCCACTCGATCAGAGTGGTGGTCACAGAACACTCCGTTTAAAACAAGCTCTGTCAGGTTTGAAGATATTCTTTTAGAATAGAGTTGCAGTTCTGTGACAACACTGTGACAAAATAGTGTGAAAATATTGATATTGAATTTTTATTAACACCGCCCAGCTATTCTCGTGTTGACATATTGTCTGAAATATTCGGGTCATTACCTGTGTCCTTTGTGCTTCATCAAGGACTTTTTCCCCTGAGTCTTCGATTTGACACTAACAACCCCTCCCCTCTCCACTGAATCAATATCTGCTGGTGCTGTGAGAACAAGCCTAATTTGCTTACATCTGCCCTACTGACTCCATTCTACTCAGGAAAATTGCAGGCTTGACTTTGGGCCGGAGCTGGACGCGTATCCGTAACATCCCGCCATCTTGCGCAGAACCCCAAGGGTAACACTTCATCCTCTGAATCAGCATGCTGGCTTGTTTTTTGTCCCTCAAAGGTAATTTAAGCTTTCTTCTCCTTTAAGTGTCAAATACAACCCATGTCTTATTTGGCTGTAGAAGGCAGTGGGTCACTTTGGAACAAAGGTAATGTTGGATAATGTAGGTAGTATCTGCCCCATTTGCTCTGCTTTCTTTATGCTAGGCCTCAACCTACAAACGGTTCCACAACGTCTTGCCAGGAATGTCTAGATATTAGTAACGCCTGTTTTACTATAGTAAATAAATCACATCCCACCAGTCAGGTCTGTTAATGGGGTCCTCTTGTGCTTGACAGTTTTCCTCTCATGTATCTGCATGCTAAACGATCTAAATAGTCTCTAAGGATGTTATGATTTACATACCATGTGGCATCTATTTCAATGAATTCTAGCACCATGACTGCAGGTTTCTATTCTAATACTTAAGACTTTACAGTTTAACAGTATTTCCATTGGCAAACTATGACTAGTACAGTTAGGCTTTCAGTTCAGGCCATAAATGTCAAAACTAGTGCCTATTAGTCATAGTTAGATTTATGCTAATGGTGGTGCTTCTAAACATTTTCTGCCATTTCTATTTTAACCACAAACACAAGACATTCAATGTTTAATATGAAGCTTTTCACAGAAATTAATATGTATTTTACCTTGCATTTTGTGGTTTTACAGTGCAGTAAACAGGCCTGCCATAGACTGTCTGCTAGTATTTTTGACTGACAAGAAACCTAATGATGAAACGGCACCTCATAACATATATAATATTTAAGCAATAGAACACTTGAGGTCGTGTGTTGTCGCTATAACATCACGGATGTCATTTGGTCTCAACCAATCAGCTTGCGTGGCCGTAACTAACTGCTGTATAATTAATATATTATATTCACAGACAGTATCTAGGGCTTCCAAAAGGCCTAAAGTAACATTTTTTTTCTCATCAAAAATTAACATTACAATTAACTGTTTTGCCCTAATTATGTTCATAGTTAATCTAACACGTAAGGCCTTCTGTCCAGCTCCTGAAGGCCTAACCAACAGGTGAGCAAGCTTGGCTGAATCTACCCAGATACCAAATCCAGATTTGACCCAATACCAATATGCTACTTTTAGTTCATATTCAAAGTTCTATCTGCACTCTTAGCAAAGGTTCTTTAAACTGTGTACAACAGGCTATACGAAGGTTTATGCATTCCAGTGGTTCTTTGAGTTGTCACGGTTCTATATAATAACACTGCCTTTACTAAGGAACCCTTGAAGAACCACTTTTTAAGCATATAAAGGTCACAGTGCACTATAGTAGCACCAGTAACACCTCAGCAAGCAAATGAGAAGAGCCCTGCAGCTGAAAGGGATCCAAGCTTTGCTGGATTTATGTATTTTAACCGTGGTTATTAAATACCATTGAACACATTGTAACTACAAACATACCATTTTAAATTTCTACAGCAATACATAAAATGACTTTTTAATTTACAAGAAATTATCTGTGCCTAGCTCAGTCATTCACAAACATATACCCGGCAAGTATGGGTTATAACTTGACCTGATCTGACGTACAAGCATATAGAGCCAGCCACAAAAGTTTGGGTATCCCAGTCAAACTGCGTATTTGTTGATTTTCTTTGGGTTGAGTTAGTTAACACATCCTCTACAGAAAACACATTTTTAACGCACAATTACTGTTTATTTGCTGAATTTAATAACATATTGGAGTAAAAATAAAGCATAAAATGTGTCCTGTGCAAAAGCTGTGGCACATTTAAATTTAATTTTATTGTATTCCCAATAAATTAAACTTAGCAAATAAAGAGAAATTGTGCCCTAAAATGCACCGTAATTGGACCAGGGGTGTTCAAATGTTTGCATACGTCTGTACTAAAGCAGTTTTTAAGAGTGAACACATAAGTAAAACATCAAAAACATGCAAAACACATCAGTATATACTGAATATGGAAAGTTTATATTTCAGTACAGCACTATCAATCAGGATACTGAATTGTTGGAAATCTGATTCATGATGTAGCCCTGGTGTCACCCTGTGATGCTAACACTAATACAGAACAAGTCTCATATTAGGGTTATGAATTTAGGAGGTTCTCATCCTAGATATTTTAGGTATGAACTATTATCATCTACCCTTGACTTTTTTCTTCATTTCCAAGCGAAGGCTCTCGCGTCTTTCTCCTAATCTGCTATTTTGATGTAAAAGAGTAGAGTCCTCTCTGAAGCAAGCCACAAACCCAAACTGTTGGCAGTAATTGAGGGCCAGATGCTAGCATTAGATACGGAATTAGCAAAGGAGGCTCTTAGCAATCTGGGAGATGGCACAGGATGGCACAGAACGGGCGGGTGGGGAGTGTTGAAGCTGGAACGCTGGGACACAAACAGTGTGCCTCTATCCTAGTGATCAGTTACAGCAGGCCAGCCTGTACACTCCTCTGTTTGTCAATGACTCTCTCTTTCTCTCTGTCTATCCATCTATACTCCACATATCACTCTCATACAAATCCAGCCATTTTATACTGAAATCGTTTTTGCACACAACCCAAAACAGTTTTAATTGTGACAAAGCAGCAACACATTCAGGAAAAAACACGTTTCCTTTGATGACGTCATGCAGATGTGACTCATCTGGAATACAACAACAGCAGCACTGAACTGTGGTTAGAAGAACGCTGTTATGTTTTAATTCACTTTTTATTATCATCATTATTATTATTATTGTTATTTTTTCTCTTGAGCATCCGCTACATGACTCACATTTAAGATATCAGGAGACACAGCTAAAAGTAAAAAAAAAGAAAAAAGAAAAAGTAAATTGTAAATTATGGTCCATGAGTGGTTTCCTTACAGAAACGCAGATTCTGAGGAAATGATAAACACTGATCAATCTTCAATATCTCACTGTATAATATGACAGGGAAAAAAGCACGAGAGGAAACGTCATTCAGAGAACAACATTAATCGTTTTACAATGTGACCTTAATTTCACCATGATAAAACACCAGACAGAACGTGTTAAGCTAACACTGGTGTTTTTGTCTTTTTTTTTTTGTCTTTTCACTCCTTTGTTTATTAAAACCCAAATACAAGAATCGCATGTCACTATAGCAACGCCCATAACAGATCAATTTATGGTTAACAATCACTGTTTTGGTATAGCGAACTTCAGCAAGGAAAAAAAATTATAAGAAAAAAAAAATCATAAATTTAAACAATCCAATAGAAAGTAATAAATAGAAAATAATCAGATTGAAATTCTAGTCATTTCTTGTTCATATGAATACATAACATCTACAGTTTTTTTAAGTTAATAAAGTCAAGCTACAGTATATAAATACATCACCAGCATGCACAATATTGTATTATCGAGAATATTGGAGCAGTAATCATCTTACACTGAGAAACAGTATAATAGGCAAGTGCATTATTTTTTGAAAATTAAAAAAGTAAACAAAAAAAAGAGAAGAAAAAAAAAAATACCACAAACCTCAGAGCTGCTTTCAGATCATCTCCCATATTGACATTGCCAGTGTTCTGTCTTTAATTGTACTTTCAGTCCAGCGAAAAAGAGGAAATAAAAACAGCCAATGGTTCCAGTCAATTCCATTCAGTGTATCACAGCAGGGATCCAGGTGATTAGGGATTGCTTAAGAGCATTAATTTTGGGGGGGGTTGTTGTTTTTCTGATATATTTCTACAGTTCTTTGCTAGGATAGACTATGTTTTGAAGTAAAGTCATTACAAGTTAGATTATATATCGTATATGTTGTGGTATATGGTAGTATATTGTAATGACAATAAATCTTTATTCGAGCTTGACATCCTAAATGTCCAAATTATATCAATAATAATAACAACAATGATAATAAGAATAGTTTTAGTTTTCATGAAAAGGACAATAATTTCAGCTTTCAATGGAGCACTGTACTTACTGGTTGGAAAACTATACTAGGTTATTGTATACGTAAACTACTGTTTCTTGAGCAGTAGACTTGCAACCTGCAACCACAGTGATGTTTAAATGACCGTATTTTGAGTATCCTCAATTGCCATGGCGGCTTTAAAGAAACGACTGACTGTTGGGCGCACATCAGGATCCACAAATATATTTAACAGAGACCAAAAAAAACACCCTTTCACACTCACTGGAGCCTGTTTGCAAACTTACTTTTGCGAGGCGATGACATTCAAGTTTTTACTTCATGTATTCTTTTTTTTGTCCTTTGCTCAAGCTTTAATATGTCTTCCCCTGACAGTTCACAACACTTCCTCCTCTCTTATAAATAAGCAGCTCAACTTCATGTTTCACGACAAGAACAGTCCCTATGCCAGTGTTTGGGGTGTATTTCAACCCTAGTCATTTAGTACTGACTGACTTACTGACAGGCTTTTCTTCCTCAAAGTGGTGTTTTGGCAAATGTTGCAGAGGCAACCAAGGAAGCAGGGTTTGTAATCTTTATTATTATCGTGGTTTATTAATTTAAATGCGACACATACCTCTTATTTAACTGCTATTTCTATTCAGATTTCATCATGTTTTTAATCTGTTTAATTTTGGTAACTTGTGGAAAAATAAAGAGAACTGCAGCTGTGGTAGTAACCATCAGCAAAAGTGGCTGCCAAAGTTCCACCAGGCCCCCTTTTGTAAATTTTTCACTTAGCTTTTATTTTTCTTTTTTGATTTTCTTTGTTTTGTGAGCACGCGTGTTTTGTGTTACGGCTAGGAAACGGGTATTTTTCGAAGGTCTTCACCTCTTCTGCTCTCGTTTAATTGTTGCCCTCACCGCCTTCGTCGTCTTGCTGGTCGCTCGTCCAGAGCGTCAAGTTGTCTCGCAGGAGCTGCATGATGAGGGTGGAGTCTTTGTAGGAGTCCTCGTTCAGGGTGTCCAGCTCGGCGATGGCGTCGTCGAAAGCCGTCTTGGCCAGGTGGCAGGCCTGCTCAGGCGCGTTCTGGATCTCGTAGTAGAAGACGGAGTAGTTGAGGGCCAGACCCAGGCGGATGGGGTGCGTCGGCTGCATGTGCTCCTTGCTGATCTCATGCGCCTCGCTGTAGGCCTTCTCGGAGGACTCCACCACGGCAGCTCGCTTCTCGCCTGTGGCCACCTCTGCCAGGTAGCGGTAGTAGTCTCCCTTCATCTTCAAGTAGAACACTTTGCTCTCATGCTGGGCGTCGCTGCAGTTCTTGATCAGGAAGTTGTCGAGGAGGTTGAGCACGTCTTGGCACACGGCTTCCAGCTCCTTCTCGATTTTCTCGCGGTAGGCACGGACCATCTCAATCTTCTTCTCATTGCCATCAGCGGAGGTCTTCTGCTCGATGCTGGAGATGACGCGCCAGGAGGAACGACGAGCTCCCACCACATTCTTGTAGGCCACGGAGAGAAGATTCCTTTCCTCATTGGACAGTGCCTCGTTCAGCTCGGTCACCTAGGAGACAGAGAGGAAAGACAGAGTGCATTTCAGATGGTGTGTGCTTTTTGTAGATTTCTTATTATAACATAGTATTGATATTTCTTACATGTGTAAATCCCACTCTAAACCACATACATGATAAAGAAAGGAAAATTCATGAAAAAGCTTTGTTTAACATGTTTTAGAACGAAACCCTTAATGTCTCTCCTTTATTTAAAATCAAGTGCCATCAAATTCTTCTGCATTTTTTCTTGAATTACGGTAGACATCTAAACCTACAGGTCACCCATTGCCAATGCACAGAATCTTGGAGGAGTCAAAGGCCCTTCCCTTCTATTCCTCTGTACATAATCAGAGCAATTTCAGAATGTTTCAGTTATTGACCTGCTAGCTTCAACCTACTGACATTTAGCTTCAGTGAAAGTCTGCACAAAAACATATTGTCAACAGCTATAAATTTTCATAATGCTCTGCATGTGACACTCACAAAGCAATAAATATAGTTGAGAGCGGCTAGAAGCAAAATTCAGAGGCAGGAGGAGAACAAATAGCTTTGCCTTGTTGTGAAATACCGATGGCAGTGGAGTAAAAACCCCTCCCTTTCTTCGACATTTGCCTTAGTCATCACAGATCCCTGATAAAATCACTGGCAGGACATTTAAACGATCTTTAAATTGACAAAAGAATTAACCACTGCTGATCTAATTGCTTGAATTAAGCTGCTTTTATCTCCATGTTCTCATCCTGCAAAGGGCGCAGAAGTTGGTAGGACATACAAATGAAAGGAGCCCACTTAGGACTGAATACAAGATCAGGTAGCACTTTCTCATTGGTATGATGCTAACCAGCCCCAACTAGCATTCTTTAATTAGGAACCACACTGCCATAACAAGAAAAAAAGTGTAAAAGTTGTTTTCCTTCACTCCACCTATAGGAGAGGAAAAGAATAATTGTGTAAAAAAAATTAAAACCCAAAAAACAAGATTTTTTCCATTTAGGACCCTAAAAGCACACTAACCTCACCTCATCCCGTGAGGCAGGGGCTGAGCTGTTTGGGCAGTGCCAAAGCATTAGGGTCACTGCTAATCCCCTCTCCGTTTGCTCTGACAACTAATGAAAAAAGCTCAATGAAAATGGGTGGTGTAGGATGCTGACCTGAGAGCAGTTTTGTTCTGCTTTCTTATAATACTTGGGATAATGAAAAGGGGGTGGACACTGGTTCTCGACCAGTTTATAATCTTACGAAAGCACTGAATGGGTAGAGATGAGGGAATGAAGGGATAAACTGACTTATTCTGAATGAAGTGGTTGTGTTTTATGTGGCCTATGTAGTTTTTACAGACGAATACAACTAATAACTTTTGCTCCAAGGATTTGTAAACAGGATATTTATAGGTACCACAGCTTTGTGTTGCATAAACTGCTAGATGTGTGTGAAAAAACAGGGTAGACTGAAGTATTTGGGGAACATCTTGTTTATTCAAAATTCAACCAAACTTTTTGTAACTAAAATAAAGTAAAACAATGACCACCCTATTAGTCATTTTAGTCCTCTTAAAATAAAAAAGAAGAATGTAAAGGTTTTCAGAACTGCGTCAGTAACATAGCCTGTAGTAAACCTCCAACTTGTTCCCTGCCAGTAATTTGCCACGCTGTAATTTAACAATTTACCAGCAGGAGGATTGCTGGCTATAATTCAGTTTCTGATCTCCTCCCTCTCTCCCACTCTCGTTTGCTCTCCTGAGCTACCTTTTGGAAGAACTGCCTTTTCTGCTGCATCATTCAGTCTCCTCACAACCGAAAGAGAAGCCACTATCCCTATGAGTCATTTCCAAACTTAATATAGAGAATGACACATGATAAGTGCTCCTCTCTACAAAGAGAGATGGCTCCTCTGCTCTTTGCCTCCCTACTATTTTCTCCTACCCTGTAAGCTGATCAAACGATAAAAGCCCAATCAGAATTCTTTATGTCATTGGTCAGCAAGGTCATACTCAAACACACACACAAAATCCTTCTTCAAGCTTTGGTCTCCAGACAAATTACTCTTGATTTAAACCGCAAGAGAGCAAGTATAACTGAGTTTTGCACCTAATTTGTTTATCTCTTCTCATTCCAAGAACAATATTCCATTTAATACATTAAGGTTCTCAAAAGCAGGACTATACGGACATATTAAAGGGTAAATAACACTTTTAGTTAAATAAGAGTTTGATGTAATGATGTATGTAAAGTTCCAAAATTAATCCACGCAGCCCATATATGGAAATCAAGCTGCAAACGCAGCCTATTCTTAATTCACTTTTTTTGTGATGTCACACTGAAGTTATAAGGAGTGTTTTAGCCCAGACTGCTTTTTGAATGAGGCAGAGTACAGTCAGAACTGAGGTCACTTACAAATATCAGTCTTAAAAGGTATAGTAACAAATACTGCCTGTTTAATTTGAAGAGATAAAGAGAGGCTAAAAAAATAGTAAAGAAAAATAAATGACGACACAATTTGGCACGTAAGTTCACACAGAAAATAAAAGGATGTAAGAAAAATATGAGCCCTGTAAAAGAAATAAAATTATTTCAATAGTTGGGTTTCTGTCCATGTATTGTTTAGGTGTATTTTGACATATAGAATAAAAATAACTTGATGCTGATGGCAAATATCAAATAAAATCTTAAACATTTGCATAGAACTGTTCTAAGATTTTTCTACCAATAAAAAAGAAATGACGAAAGAAAGAGTTACGATGGAAATACTGAATAAATAACGTAAACGATAACATAGAATAAAGTCAAATGACGGATCATGTGATTCGGGTCACGCCTGGCTGTTGCTAGGAAACATAACAGAAGGCAGCAGGAACCAGTGGACAAATTAAGAAATTAAAATGTACATTTATGTTATCAAAGAAGAAAATATAACATGATTTTAGATGGTAAACAAATATAAAGTGCCTGCTGCTGATCTTGAGCTATAGACACAGAGAGCTGTATTCTCTTGAAACCAAGGCTAATTTGCATATATATATATATATATATATATATATTGCTTCAATTTAATTCAACAGCTGAATGGAAACCTGCAAACTGCAGAAATCTAAACAATCTCAGCACTTCAAAGGACAATATGATGTATCACAGTTTTTTGACGTAGTATTCCAGCAACATGCTTTTGTCATTGCATGTCACCTTTGACTTCTTTCCTACACACACATGCGTGTTTGTCTTGCTATACATATGAGGACGTCTATAGGTGTCTATTGAGTTTTGTGTTACTGTAGCTAAATACTAAACCCAAACCTAACCTTAACCTCAGTATCCAAAAGGCAATTTTTCTGCTCTTTTAGTTTTCAAATAAAAAAAGTTATTGTGGTGAAAACAACACATGCTCAAGTGAGGACCAGCAAAATGTCCTCACTTGAGCAAAACATTTCACATAATCCTATCATAGTGAGAACATAGGGTCCTTACAAGTATAGTGCTACAAGAACACACACACACACACACACACACACACACACACACACACACACACACACACTCACACACACACACCTTTCTTTTCTGGACGGTGAGAGTAAGCAAAGAGCAACATATCGCACACAATCTTCCGTTTCCATAGAAACAGGGCGATCTTCTTTGTTTGGGCACTCTCTACCGCAGCCCTGGATACAGCAACAGTGTCCACACATTGGCAGAGATGCACAGTGTGTATGTAAATGTTTGTACATGCATGCAAGAGAAGTGTGTGCAGATAAGTGCCTTACAGTAAAGGCAGCTAATATGTGTGCGAGTGGGCGTTAGAGGGAGAAATTGTGCATGTTCATGTATGTGATGGAGTGCGTGTGTGTGAGCTCAGTGCAGAAGTGCCTTAGAGTGTGTGGGTGTGCAGGGTGGGGGCTGGGTAAAGAAGGAAAAGGCTGCAGCTAGCTGGTTCGCTGGCAGCAGCAGCTGTGTTAGTGAAGATGATCCTTTACTCCATCGGCCAGTTCATATCCCCCATAGCCACATGACCTTTCCTCTCTTTCAGGCCCTTTTGAGCCTCCTACACCTTACCAGCCATCTCCTGAGAATCAAATGCACTGCAATGCTCAACCAACGCTGCACTCATAGCACTCCTGTGATCAAGTGTGATATAAATGCATGCATTTGAAAAAATAAAAAGAGTTTTGAACCGTATCAAACCGTATCCATTTGCTTTTTTTTATTTATTTATTTTCATATAATAAATTTCAAATAAATTTGAATTTAGTCTTGCTTTAAAATACTGACTTGTTCCTGGTCTTATAAGCATAGTTCATCATATCGTCTCATTTAAAAGACAAAGTTATTGTTTTCTCGTTGCTGTTCCTAAAAAAATATAATGAACACTTTTTGCCCATTTGTCCGACTCTCCTGATTTTTGATACATCACCATAAACCTTTAGGCAGAGTTAAATAATATTAACCAACAAAATCATGTCCCATCTCCCATCTATCATATAATGAAAATGTTTCTGCCTGATACTATATTTCTCTCTGAAATATGTCATGAAGCAGAAGGAAAAGACATTATCATTTCACATTCATGATGAGTTTAAAAATCATTCGTCCCAGGTGAACAAAGGGCTATTTTAATATCATAAATTAAGTAATATAAGTCTTTCAGCCGTATGGTTTGACTGATTGAAAATGTCCTCAGGAAATCATAATGCTGAGGTGAGCAAAGACTGGACCTGAAGTTAACCATTCAATATCTACAGATAGTGCTGGGCAACAGATCATCTACACCAGTACTGGTGTCAAATAACAGTTTTGATCTATTATATTTTGTAGTACTGACAGATCACAAAGTCAATCTGAATTAGAAATCATAACACATTTCTATGACATACGACGTATTTCCGAGTGAAACGTCATGGTTCTTTTGATTATAGGTGGGCGTGGTGAGGGATGTGAATCATGACATTATTGGTTAACATTACTTTTTGACATAATCAAAACTAAGAAGACGTTTTAGAGACAATACAAAAGACAATACA